AGAACAATTAAATTAAATTAAAACTACTCAGTGTTTTAACCGATTAATTATAGTCGCAGATCAATTTGTTTCCTGTGGTAACGGTTGACACATCGAAAATTAGGTTAGCAGATATATTTACATATTATGAGAAATTAATATCATCATTGATACTATTTCAATCCATAATTAATAATAAATGACGGAAATTATTTCTGAAGCATTCCATGATAAGCTTATGGCTCGTCGGGTACGTTATGGTGGACTTTAACAAGGCGTAAATAAATCTGTGTAAAAACTATTCTAAAAATACCGTACAAGTAGGTTTCTTTTGAATATATAGCGTTCTGGATTTGCAAGGTCACATCACATATATATCTTTTCTTTCCAAAACGTTCAAGATAGTTGTTGATAGATGATATATAGTTACAAGGTACAGGAGTTATTGTTCTTTTCTTTAACCATACTTTACAATAGAAAGCAAAGCTAACTTACAGTTCTGCCCCCTCAACAATGTTGCCAATGAGTATATATATATATATATATATATATATATATATATATATATATATATATATATATACAAAAAAGGTTGATTTACGTTTTTATCCCTCAAAGGCCTCATGATCTTTTTTGTTTCTCAAGAATTTCTTTTAGTCCCCCTCCCCCCCCCCCCCCCCCCCCCGCCAATAAAATAAAACTTGATATTGCTTCCTACGGGCCTGTAATATATTTATATAATACAAGATAAGTTTTGCATCTCATAGCAAATGAATGATGCCAAAGGAGAATTTCAATCAGTTTTTTTTTTCATAGAATTTCCAGAGACGTATTTCATGGGAATTCAAACAAAAGTATTATCTGTATAAAATTTCTGTAAAAAAAAAAAAAATTACTCGTAGTTTTAGAAAAATCATCAGAACAAAAGACTTTAGCCAAACTTTTAAATTTACATATCTCATGAAATAGCGTTGATATAATTATACAAAATTTTCATCATGTGTTTGTATTTAAATGTTATACAATCTTGTCATTTTTCAAAGATGTATGTGATATAAAAATCAAGACATTCAAGATCAAAAGTTTGACTTAAGTTTGTTCTCATATTTCTGTCTTGGGGCCAGTTTATCAAATGTATGTTTTCTTTGTTAGAACTAGGGGAAATGAGTTTCGTGGACCGCGAAGTCGTTTACAAAAGAAAGTCGTATTATTGCCCTTTTATTTTTTTTATGCTTCAGGAATAATATCCAATTTTCCTCTGAAAATGCACAATCATATGAAAGTCTAACCTTAGGATATACTAGAGGAAGCAAAGAAAACTTATTAAACACTCGGATCGTCTTATTTTGAAGTGAGGTATGTCATGCTTATTATTATACCAGAGCTATCAATCACGTTCTATGGAGAGACATGTTAACCTTGTACACGGAATTTGTCTAATACGGTTAATGAATGGGGAGTGATGAAATGTTGGATTTTCTAGGACAAAGGGATTCCAACATACACGCGATTGGTGATTGCAGCTATTCTCTAGTGAAACTGAATTGCATAAGAATTATAGATTTCTAACAGTCTGTGGTGATCAATTTCGCGTTTTGCTGCTGGGTCTGACAGTCATCGTGTGAAAAGAAGGATCGGGCACAAACCTCACTAAAATTAAGAGCCTTATTAGGAACGTAAAACCAGATGTTCAATGTGGGTTAAATTAGAGGAAATATGGCTTATTTTTTATATTTCAAACTGTCAAACAATTTGGTCACTCTTTTTTTAAAATTAGAAATTAGATTGAAATTGTTACTGTCAAATAAAGTACGGATGCTAATTTTCGCACGTAACTTTATTTTATTTCTTTCTTTTGGATGAATATTGTTCATTGAAGTGTAATTCCCATATTTTATATCATGCAAGACTGACAAACTTAGTGGAGAAATATTTTATGCCTCGGTTGTCTCTCTATATCCGTCATATTATCACATGAACGTGCCCGGGCCATAACTTTTGAAAAATCGAATAAAACTTAGAACAATGTGTTACAGTCTTATCAAAGAAGTCTAAGTCACTTCGCAATAAGATTTTGAAATCTTGTTCGGATGGGAGAAGAATGTTCAAAAAGAAAAAGAGCAGAAAGATGGATAAATAAAGGAAACAACAAACATAAAAGAAAAGAATAATTAGTTTTTATTAAAGAAAAGAAAGCTTTTTATTAAATGCATCGAAAGACATATATTTCAATGTTCTTAATTCTTTTAAGTACGTTTTATTACGTTGAGTTCTAACTATTTGGTAGCAAATATTAAAGGTTTGATTAAGATAAGTTTATTATAAACAAGATGTTTTTTAATGAAACACTGATGCCCAAGGTTAAAGTTTTTTTCTATTTGTAGGTAAAACTCCAAGGTCAAGGGCAAGAGTTCAGAGGTTAATTTTTTCTTTTGCGGACAGACAAACAGATTAAGAGACAAACAGAAAGACAGACGGACGGACAGATTAAAAACCATATGCCCCCGAATCTTCGATGTCAGGAGCATAAAAATGTTGTTTTCTAAGAAATGGACATTGTAATCAAAGTCACTTGGTCCGATTATTATGGTAAAGAAATCATTTCTGGTTTTTTCTTGAATAATAATTCTTAAAAAAAAATCCGTTTTCTTTAAAAGGTAATCCCCAGAGTCAGTGTCTTTCAAAAGATATTAATATATAAATTGTAAAAAGTTATTTTTCTTGGGTCAGACAAAAAAATAAAGAGAAAGCAAAGCTTGAGCATATGCACGAATTGAAGTCAAACGTAAACTTGGTTGTGAGCGACTCTGGGCGTCGAAAGAAGAGACCCTTGCCTGGAAAAAAAAGACCGAAAAGCAGCGTATTTATATGAAAAGCCAACTGCGGGGGGGGGGGGGGGGGTTACCTGCGGGAAACGCGTGGTCAAAGCAGGATTTGATCACGTGACCAACTTCATGTCATATCCCAATGAAACTCTAAAAATGATATTTTTAAAAGTACAACCGCATTAGTGTCTTTATCACGTCATAATGTTACAACAGCAATAGTGTCTCTATCACGTCTTCAGTGTGTTTATTTATGACACTTCATAAGCAAAACAATGCAAACTCTCCTATTTTTTTGTTTTAATCTTAGGTCTTGAAGTCTCTCCATGGATGCCTGGGGCCCTTGCTTTTTGTCGATTTCTGAACCAGAATTTTTGTTTTTCAGATTATTTTAAGAAAGATTCTGTTTTCCTTTGAGGAATATTTTGTCACGTTTCATTAGGTAAAAATATAACAGAGTTTTTTTTTATCTCGTGAATGTGAAGAGTAATAATCTTGTCACGTTGATTCTATATTTAGTAAGTACTCAATATTTCAGGCTTTTTAACTTAAATTTTTACTTCCTATCGATTACCCCGAGGTTTGCTATCAGAATTTTTCAGTATCATCTGTCACGTCGTGTACGATACGCTATGTACTTATCAACTACATTTATCTGTTTTTGTAGATCAATCAATACTCATTCTGAATGAAATATTGATGAATTACAAAGTGGTACAGTCCTCTGATCCGCCTGGAGGACTAGTCGAACGTTCTCCAGAACAATGCGATTTTTAATCATTACGTAATTTTCTCTCTCATTTTATAATTGATGTAAGAAACAAAATCATCCAACACAGTGAGTCAAAGTTTTTGAAATTTGAAACAACACTGTAGTTTTTATTATATATGGATTCAGGATGAAAACTTTGTGCAACTTTAAAGTAACATTGTCAAATCGGATTTTCAGTCGTTTTATTTTTAATACATTTTATTGTAGTTCCACACAAGGAATAAATAATTATACGCCATTTGCATTGTTTGTTAATTATTTATTTCTATAGATTAAGCCAGCTCCTTTATAAAATGATTCAAATAGTTATAGTATATTTGGATGGTTAAAGAATTAATGCAACGGTCAAATTTTGCAAACACAAATCTAACCTCATGGTTAAAATTTTAATCTTAATTAGAAAATGTATTTCACACTAGCTTGTAGATCGGATATAGTTATAATCTGAACACTGCGTTCATTTCATAAAAACTTGGGCACTTGGAAATCGAAATTATGGTGAGTCCACTGAGATTCCTCTCAAATGATCATAATTTCATTGATTCAGAAAACCAGTGTCCTTGATTAATTCTTCAACAACGATGTCGGCGAAAATAACTTCCATATGTAGGGACCTAATTCAAATTAAATAACCCTTTCAAATAAAATCAGTCAAGGTTATAGGCTGTAGAAAATCTGCAGAAAGTGAGATTTAAACACACTGTCTTGTTTTTGTCATTTAGGCTCAATTAATATGTTTCATGGTAAAACTAGAGTAAATTTGTAATTAATTTTGGGTTTTCATTTTTTTTCATGTTTTTGAATTGAATTTCAATATAGATATTAAATTAAAGATTTGGAGATAATGGAAAGAATGAGGCAGGTTTGATACGGAAATTTCATGATAAATATGTGCAATAATCAAGCGTGCACAAACTGTTTTACAGATTTCGTACCAAAATGTTTTGAGTATCCCATGTCCTTAAAGGTTTAGCCGTATTATTATTATTTTTTAGGAATGCGAAAGAGATCACCATAATATAAAATATAAAACGTTTGTGTTCTGTTCAACCATCACAAAAAAAGGATTCATTTTTTTCTCTTCTTAATTGTTTCTCTATTTAAATGTTTTTCTTTAGTAGAAGCGTTTTTGTTGAATAAAGTTTTTTTTCTCTTTGTTATATAAGAGTTCAAGGAACCATGAATACGTACAGTTGGTCATAGACCTTTTGAAGATTAAAAAGTGTTTGGCTGTTATTAATGTACGTTGATGGAAAAAAAAAATTCAATGAAAATCGATGATTTTGATATTTAAGCAGATGTTGTATCACCGCACAAGCCTCTGTCATTATATGCAACAAATGTGATAAAATTTAATCCTTGTTGACCTTTTGTGAAAATAATTCCAGCTTATATATTGATCCAGGCCGGTCACGTGACCTGAAAATGTGCATTTTGTCTCCAAGTCACATTATTTGTCAATCAGAGATCCCGCGCGCGCCAAACCTTATCAGTGAGAGCTGCGATGTCCAATGGATGAACAACAGCATTGTATTGGAACGGAAGCGTTGATAACGCTGACACGTCCTGCAACCGATCGGAATTAATGAACTGATTCAATGATCAATTCAACAGGTGAAGACTGCGCGTATAGACCAACAGCCAAAGTCATATTTGTTAGAACGAATGACGGGATGTTTATCTAGGATTAACGTTGTTGACATTGCGAGAAGTGATCTTAGTTTTTAACTTAGAAGTGTAAGATGCATCATCCATCATTCTGTCCAATATTTCAAATGCTGTGTTAAGTTATTTCTTTTCAATGGATCACTTCATATTCAAAGTTGTTTATTCTTATATTGTTTACTAGGTTTATATTTTTAAGGTGAATATTGAACATGACACAGTTGACACAGCCAGTTGTTGAAGAGTGGTTCGAGTCCAACAAGGACGCATTCGCTGAGATTTTTCTGAAAAAGGCAGATATTTCTATTGTGAATAAATGGTTGTTAATGCATGGCTACTCTCCAGCCACAGAGCAACCAACATACCAACCCAAGCGAGGTTCACTGTCGACAGATAACAGTTCTCCCTCCTCACCGAATGACAAAAACGACGTCTTTTTTGACACCAGACATTGTAGGACAAATTCAAAGAAATATCTGAGACAGGATTTTGCAAAGTCAAAGAGGAAAAACATATTTCGGACATATGAACCGACCATGTGCTCTGCTGAAGCTACAACTGAATCTCGAAGAAACAGTCTAAAGGAAATGAGAATGTTCCGATCGCTTCCCCCAAATTCTGTTAACATGCTTAGCATCCTGATACAGTCACGAGTGCGTTTACCAAGATACCCAAGCAAAGACATTGACATTAAAAGGGACCTTCGAACGAAGAATGAGAGGGAGTTTTTCTTAGAAATTGTTAAAGATATTTCAAATGATTTAGATTTAAGGTCATTGAGTCAGAAGATTGTGGCAAATATAAGTGTACTAGTTGATGGTGATGCAGGTTCAATTTTTTTGGTGGAGGGTCGAGGGACGGGGAAACCGTCTTTGGTTTCAAAGCTGTTTGACCTCCATTCAGGAACGCATATCCTTCCCACCTCTATGGGAGATGGAAGTATCACAGTGCCCTGGGGGAAAGGCATCATTGGCCATGTGGCAGAGACAGGAGATACTATTTCTTTGATGGAGGCTAGTCAGGTAGGCAAATTTTTCAGTTCTAAACACTCAAACATTTAAACATCAGAACATTAAGCGAAAGCGAAGAGAAAAAGAACCTGAGGGGAGAGTTTGTTTCACTAACGTTGTGAACTTGCCAGTAGACGTGAATGGAATGATATATCTGTAGAATTAAACAAATGTTATATGATTTTTACCCAAAGGGGATTTCGACGAATGTTAATGACTTAGCCTGGGCAAAATCACGCATGGAATCAATCCGACACTTTATCAATGGCAAATCCAGAGGAGTAATATCAAAACACATGGTCATTATTTTTATTCTGTCTGCAATGCATTTGAAGCATAAATGACGATCCCAAATACGTTATAAAAGAATTCCTCATAGTACATGTTAACAAATCATGGTGATCTGATTGAATAAAAAATAAATACTTGATGGAGAGGAAGATATACCAAAGGAGATGGGCGAACAAGGCGTTCAAAATGCCTTTAGCTTCAAATGTATCAAAGTCAGAAGTCAGAATCTGCTTGCGAATTTTAGAGTAAAGTTCTTACCTTTGAAAGGTATGAAGTTATGACAAACAAAATTTTTCTGCGGAAAATTCTTTCGGCAAAAATTATTCTATGAATTTAAAAAAATAAGTGGTATTCTTGGGGTTCGAACCAAAGCAATAAATATCCTGAATATCAATTTTCCATTCAGTGGTTAACACGCTAACCACTACGCCTTACCGCTCATAACAAATAGCTGCATTTAAATCATGTTTGTTATTTTGACCCATGACTTTAGTTAAATGAACTTCAAATATTTCTCGGAGAGATACAAATTTTTTGTCATAAAAGTGTATTTTTAAGGTATAGTGCGTCTTTGCTCCATGTTTTGTTAACCGAAGAATGTATATTTTATGCATACTTTGAGTATAACCTTTCAAAAAAAAAAATGGAGCGAAGACCCACTCATATGGAAAAATGGTGTTTAAGTATGAAAAATTGATCATTTTGTTCTCTCTGGTGTATTTATGCTATTTCATAGACGAATAATTTCAATCTTTGTTGGGTTGTTGCGCTTTTTGGAGATTTTACATATTAAGTATACATTAATATTAAATGAAGTATCAAAGAAAAGTTTGTCATGATTGAGATTTTATTTTCTTCTTTATTTGTGGCACAACAGACATTTTGCTCGCCTTGTTCGCTCATCTTCTTATGTTCTTTACTTTGTCCTATTTTGTCAGCTAATTTAATTTTACTTTAGTTAGTGTAAAGAGTCTGATAATAATCTTATAGCAATTCTGAGAAACACTGTGCAGTAAAAAGGAACTTTCCATCTGTGGATATAAAATAGTTTTGGTGACTGACAACAATCTATCTGCAAAAAACATACTTTCGACTCAATTTACAAAAGTACGCATTAGAATAGGAAATGATATAATTTACTTAAAAATAAATTAACTATTTTGGAGAATACATCCAGTAATTGCTAATGTATAACACATGCCACATTAGTCTAATTGTATTTAGAAAAGGACAGTTTAAAATTCCCCTACCATTCATTTTTCAAAAGAAGTTATGGCATAGAATAATTGATTAAGCAAAAAACATTTTCTTTGCATGCTTCATCATCTAACGAACAAATGTATTGACTTGGGATTTTGCTTTTGTTTGACACATGGGTATATAATGCATTTAGGTTAGGTTCAGAAAGGTTTCATGTTAGTCATGGGATCTGAGTTTGATGAGCACATCAATTTAATACCAAAAAATGTAGAGGTCTACAACACAAGCCTGATAGTTTTGAAAATGCTTAAATTATTTTGTCATGGGAAACAAGTAGACAGATAATTCGATTTTGCAAACCTTTCCGTTGCTTTATAATCATAACTGTACATGGAGTCATCATTCTCTATCTGTAATATGGCAAAAGGAACGTAAACTTCTTGTACTTATTTTGAAAAATAAGTTTAGCATATTCTAATAAAAATTATAAGTAAGCATGAAAATATATTAAATTTCACAAATATTGAGGGTGGATGATTGTTACTTGTGGTATTGCATTCGTTTATTGTGTTAAAAGTACGATAAACGCTTTATATGCATAGTAATCTGAGGCACAATTATAAGCATTAGTCATACTAGTACCTTACGTGAGAACAACTAATAAAATATTTTCAAACTGAACTAGTTCTGCTTCACTATATCTTGTGATGTTTGTGGCAAATGACAATTTTCATCAAATGGTACAAAATTTCACAATTAAAAGAATAACGATATTTTCTATTCGTTTAGTAGTTCCATTGCATTTGATGAAATATATGGAGATAACGAACAACGTTCAAGCTCACAAGTCCATTAAACAATACAAAATAGGAGCAGAAAATAGGACCTCCAAAACATCAGAGGTGGGATTATGATGTACGAAATTACCTTATTATTACCTTATTATTATTATATATTATTATATTATTATATTATTGTATACACAGACTTCCTAAATCAAGTGATATGAGAAATTCTTTCTCTCTCTTGGTATTACATAAGGCGCAGAAATCATTCACTGATAAACAAACATCATATGTTGAAATATGTGATTAATGCATGTAAATTTACAACAACAATAATAATAGGCTCTTTTTATCCGGGATAGCTCAATTGCCACAACCCTTACTTTGTTTACGATGTACTAGCTCTCCATGGATGTTGTAGAGCAGTTAATAATGAAAATAGCCTTTATTTATCCAGGAATACAAAATATACCATGGTCCTTTCTTTGTATACGATCTACTTGAACTTTCTGGATGTTGTAGAGTAGTTAATAACAATGGCCTTTATTTATCCAGGATTACATAATTAACACGGTCCTTTCTCTGTATACGATCTACTTGCTCTTTATGGATGATGTGGAGTTAATAATGAAAATAGCCTTTATTTACTCAGGATTACAAAATTTTCATCCTCCATTCTTTGTATGCGATCTACTTGATCTCTCTAGATGTTGTAGTTAGAGGATTACAATAACCTTTATTTATCCAGGATTTTAATTATTATAGTAGTCTTTTCATTGTATACCATGTACTTGTTCTATATGGATTATGTGGAGCAGATAATAACAATAGCCTGTATTTATCCAGGATTATGTAATAATCATGGTCCTTTCTGTGTACACCATATGCTTGCTCTCCATGGATGATGTGGAGAACAATACATTGTGTGAGGGATCGAGATCTATTCGATGTAATGTTGTTATCAATTAAAAGTTATGCATCACAGGGTCACTTTATTTGAAGAATCTGAATATAAATTAATTAGAATTGGGTTATGTGTGGATAGCATAAAATAATGCATATTATTTGCTCTCTCCAATACAAAATTCTGAAACATCTTTGCTACTGCCTCTTTATTGTAAGATTTTTTTTTCAAAATGACACGCATCTCTTTTTTTTTTTTTTTGACTTTTTTTTCTCTTTTATTAAAACATGGTACATAAATAATTCAATGTACAGAAAATCATAATACATACATTGCATAGAAATTTATAAATCAAAATCACAAATAATTGCCTACTTCTAGATACAGATTATCATTAATTACATGTGCTTTCCTTAGATTCACGTTTTGTAAACAAAGACAATTTTTTATCTTATTTCGAAAAACTTCTATATACATGTTTTCTTTTTGAAATCTACATTTCATTTTATATTCATAAATGGTAAAACAAATGAATGACAATAGATTATTCAATCTAGTTGTTTTTAAATTGATTTCATTGTAAAAACCAAGTACCAGTATTTTCCATGTGATTTCAAAACCGAAAAACAAAGTAATTTTTTTTCCAAATTTTTTCTCAAAGTTTACACCTGTACAGGAGATGTTCAGTGTCTTCAACAACCATACAATATTCACAAAAAGGTTCTACATCTTTGTTCCATTTACTTACATTTAAATTATTGTTCAATATGCAATTCAGTAATTTATAATTGAATTCAGCAACATTTTTTTCATACATATACTTAATTTTAGCTAGATATACATTTTTCCAGACATATTTGTAACTAAGATCAAAAGTCTTTTGCCACATATTTTCATAAACTGATCGTTGAAACTTTATGTTTACCAAAATTGAATAATAAAAATCACATTTAAGGTTTGCTACAGTTCTTACACTATTATCTCTAAATAAAAATGACACTTCGTTTTTAATATTAATAAATTTTGCATATGTACAATCAAAATATTTTTTGTATTCTCTGAGTGCCTTCTTTATCATGATATATTCACAGAGTATATTGTTTTTCTTTTCCAGTATATTATAAAAGTGTTCAATACTAAGAAAGTTTCCATCATTATCAAAAAGATCTTTGATATATAGAATATCACTTTTTATCCAGTTTTCAAAACAAAGAGGTTTAGAATCATACTGAAACAGATTATTGTTCCAAATGAATTCCGATAAAAATTGGTCTCTCTTTAAAGCACAAATTTGTTTAACTTTTTTACATTTATTGAAAGCAGAAAGGACTTCACCATAAAAAAGTGGTATTCTTAGCATCTTAAAAAAAGCAGTATTTTCAAAGTTACATACACTTGTTTTAACAATATCATTAACTGACAGGTTTTTAAGATTAAGAATATTATTCAACATTTTATATATTATACTTCTTTTATCTAGTATTCGTTTTATCCAAGAAGCCTTCGCTGCAGTAAATTTACTCTCTACATCAACAATACCTATTCCACCTTGGTCAACTTTACCAATTAGCGTAATTCTCTTTATCCTATCTTTTTTCTTCCATAAGAAATTAAATACAAGTTTTGATACATTTTTAAAGAATTTATTTTTTGGATTTGACAAAATAAAAGCATTATATACCAATTTAGATAATGCTAGTGTATTTATTATAGTGCATTTTCCGAAGATAGTTAAGTTTCGCCTTCTCCAAACACTCAGTATTCTTTCAAGTTTCTCTAATTTATTTGTCCAATTCATATCATAACAGATATCCTTATCATGACCGAGATAT